GTAACGTTCCAGTTTTTCCCATTAGTCTCCAAGGTCCAGGGTATAACTGGAAATTGGTCCGGGTTTAGTGTTTCAAACAAACACACATTACATGTGCTTTGGGTCCAACCCTAGCAATTGAGATAGGCTGCCCCAACCTTCTTGGTAGCACATTAGTATTAGCATTGGTAGGATAAACTCCCAAAGTCTATCTAATGGCTAAGAACATTTTAAATTAACACGAGTCTCATAAGTGTCCAGTTTAAGGGGTAATTACACAGAAACACACAAATCATAACATGAAACAATTATGTACTTTTACTCATTTATAATAAATGTATCAGTACATCAATTTGATTGGAGCTAAAGACATACACTATCTAACAAATAGTACCAGAAAATGATGAGGGCTCATCGGGAGATGTTCCCAACACATGATGGGATATAATGTGGGATGTTGTGGGGCGCCTCCTTATGGGGGGCTAATTTAGGCCCTGTTTGATGATTAAGTACTTGTTAAAAGAAGTACTTGTTTTAACTACTTAAGATTGTTTGGTAACCTACTTTCCAAGTCGCTTATTATGTTTTTAAGCACTTATTGAGGTGGGTATGTTTGGTAAGCTATTTTCCCCATAAGTGTATATATCGACACAAACGACAATTTTAGCCCTCACTTCACTAATACGTATATACAATGTTTTTCACATGTTATACTATACATTTCAACTGAGAGTCCACGTGGATACCACTTCATGACAACTGTGGATCCACACATGAATCACCATGTGGACCCAATTAATAATAATAATAATATAGTAATAACAATAATAATAATGATAATATAATAATAATAATATAATAATATAATAATAATATAATAATAATAATAATAATAATAATAATAATAATAATAATAATAATAATAATAATAATAATATTCAACCAGGGAGCCTTTGGCTTTCATCAAATGCCTGTCATTTGTTCTTCATGGGACAGCTTCTACCTTTCATCAAATGCCTAGCAACATCCACTCAACATCTTGCCGCATATCACTCTCCCAAGCCAATGAATCTCCGCCAAACATGGGCCTTGATCTTATCTTCATCATTGCAGCTTGTGAACCCATGCACATTGGAGATACTAGGCTTCCAGTGATAGTAGAGTGGCCATAGGCCCTCGTTTAATCCTCAACATGTTGGGATATCCAATGGCCATGTGACAAGCCACATGTTGATGGAAGATGATTTTATGGTTATCTCCATGCAACACTCTTACACACAATCATTCATTTTAAATTATTACTTATTTATTTATTTTCTATTAAAAATAATTTATTTGATTGTTTATTTGAAAATGTTTTTATGCATGGAGATACCAATATTGCTGGATTATTCTGGATCCAAATTCCATCTCTTATTGGGTCAATGGATATTCATTTGACCCAGTCTAGACCGGATGACCATGTAGATAGATCCTTGATCAGTATGAGACATTTGTCTCAATCTGGAGAGGCCTTGACTTGGTCTTCCCTCCAAATGTTCAAGTCGGTTATGCTCCCTCCTCAAAACAAGGAAGGGAACGTTGGGGAAAGACCTATATAAATGGCTATCACAAAGATAGCAGTGTGTGCAAAATCAAAGATAACTTGGAAGGTCAAGCAACCTCCAAATTTTGGCTCCATCCAGATTTGACAGTTCTCTCTTGCATTTTGTTTGAGAGATAGGTGTCTCGGATCCTATATTGTGCAGCTACTCTTATTCTCTCTTTGTATACAGGTTTGATAACCAAGATCTTAGCCGTTCACCTCTACATCTACTCGGTCCTTCACTGGTATCAGAGCCAAACATCGACTGGCATAGTTTTCTGAGTGTAGCCACGCCACACCGAATAGCACCCCATCTTTTAAGCTTCAGAAAAGGGAGAGGAGAGAGAATACAACCAGTTCAAGAGTTTCCTCCTTTCTCCATTGTTCGAGGGTTTCGTCAGCTCTCCCATCTACGCATCTGTTCGAGCCTCCAACTGTAGTTACACTACGAAGAAGAAGAACCAGATCGGAGTTTTTCCTCCACCGAAACCCTGTTTCGGGTCTTCTTTCTTCTTCGTCGAGATATCAAACAAGTTCTTGATCCGACGACTCAAAACGAACAGAAACTTTGGCGACTCCAAACCTAGTTCCAGTTTCCTTATTATTTTTGTTCGAAAGAGACACTTATTCAAGTTTTCTCGGAAAGATATATGAATCTGCTGCTCGAAGAACTGCAAAATTTTATCTCATATCTGAAGTCAGAAGCAAGAAACCCTAAATAAATTTAGGGCTTTTACTGTTTTCGTTCACTACAAAACAAATCTGGTTAGATAAGGCGGATTCGACCAGTAAGCCAAACCCAAACATCTCAAATTGGGTATTGGAGTTTTATTTATTTGCTTATTTCGCCCATTTCAATTTTTGTTCGGTTTTGCAATCGTTGATTCCTACATCTTATTAATTTTTTACTGCCATTTTTTTTAGGATACATTTTTTTTGGGCTCCAAACCACTTAGAAGTATCATTGTTGAATGCCAAAGCTGCTGCTGAATTAAAAGTAGTGGAAACTGGACAAATTAAATCTATTGGATAACTTAGCTGTCGATTAGTATTTTTGCGTAAACAGCTAAGTACTTTATTTGCATTTACTTTATTTATTTATTTTTGGCCTCCGAACTTGAATGACAGTCTCATAAAATACAACCAACTGATATCTGTATTTGCTTTATTTTTATTTATTTTTGAATATTCTTGCTATTTTGAACAATGACTTCTACTGCCTTATCCCAAGAACTCAGTAAAACTAGGAAACTGAACGACACCAATTATGCTCTCTAGAAACGTAGGATTAGAAGGATACTTGATGAAGAAAATGTTGATTATGTTTTAGATAAATCTATTCCTACTAAAACTATTGATGATGATTCATCGATTGTAATTCATGAATATCAAAAACGGGAAAAGGATAATAGGAAGGCAAGAAATTATTTGTTAACTTTTATGGAACCTGACATAGAGTTTGTGTTTGAAGAATATAATAATGCTAAAGATATGTTTGAAGCCATTAAAGAAACATATGGAAAAATAATTGAAACCTATGTTCAATTGTTAATTGAAAAATATTATGGTTGTGAAATGAGATAAGAGGATTCTGTAGTAGATCATGTTAGTAAAATGAATGTGATTGCCAAAGAGTTGACAACCACTGGGAACCCTATTCCTGAGAAAATTCAGGTCTCCATCATTCTTAA